GCCTGTCACATAAATCGTCCGAGCCACTGCCCGCCCGCGGCTCTGCTTCACCGTCTAGGACATCGCCTGCGCGTGCGTCTGCTGCTTCCGAGGCAGCCACTGCTGCGCGCCGATGTATGCGATGGCGATGTCGTCCACGAAGGTGCACGGCATGACGCACTTGCACCTCTCGCCGAACGCATGCTGACTCCAGGACATGAGCACATTCAGCCAAGAGGCGGCGAGACCGCAGCCCGCGAGGATGCTGCAAGAGAGGCAGGTCGCGTCAAACACCGCCTCCGCGACCTTGCACCGCCTGGGCCCTGAGTAGGCGTCGAGGCTGACCCTCAGCAGCGCCGAGTTCGCGTTGCACTGCTGCCCCTCCTTCCAGAACGTTCCGTGCCCGACGCGCTCGCAGGCCATGGCCATGGCCAGCTGGGGCGACGCGGTGGGCATGCCCACCTTGCTGCCCCACTCCTAGTGAACTGCCCGATTCCACACCGCTCGCTCCGCCGAGCGGCCCTTGGCGTCATGGAAGCTTTTTTTTGGGGGGGGTCGCGCTCCGGCCCCCACTGCTGCTTATTCGATATCTTCACCTTGGTCCAGATCCTGAGGAAGCCCCCCAGGAGCGCTATAGGGCGCACTCCGCCCTCCATTTTGGCGACGAACACGATGATGGCGACCAGCTGCTGGCTGCTGGGGCCGCTGGCCCACCCGCTCCATGCGCGCGAACAACCTGCCGAGGAATTCGAGCGCATCGCCTGACAGCGCGGCGAAGAAACGCGGGTGAAAGGCGTCCGAGCCCAAGGCGGCGCGCTGCTTGACACTCCTGCTGGCCTTCTGCAGCGCCTCCACGGACGGCTCGCGTAGCTCGCGCTCGCAGATCTCCGCCCAATTTCGCCCCAGCGCTGGATCGTCGACGTTCCTGATCTTGGCCAGCCACTCCCTGCAGAACTGGTGGGCGGCGTCTTGGATGTTGGCACCCACTCCGTCGGCCAAAAGGCCTGGCGGCGCCCCCATGTCCCCGCGAGTCCACTTGCGCGCTATGCCCGCTCCGTAAGCGATGGCCCAGCCGTCGAAGGATCGGCGCCGCTCTTTCTCGAAATCTGCAGCGAGCTTGCGACCGATGTCATGCGCCGCTGCCGCGAACTCGCCCAGCTCCGGATGCTGCTGCACGCTGCACTCTGAGGCGTGCAGGCGCGCATGAGCTTGCTCTTCCACTTGCTGAGGGTCTCTTAGAGGACATCGGCTTCGCCGAGGTGCGCAGCTTCGCTGCGCTGTCCGAGCCAACTCGCAGCACCTGTCTCCAACCCGCAGAGCCAGCCTGGACTCGGTGGGCGCCTTCGCCACGGCCGCGCTGCTCTGCCTGACGGGGTTTGCCTGGGTGAAGGTCGGCCGGCGGCCTCGCCCGGATTGCCGGGCTGCCCCCTCCGGGCTCAGGCGGTAGATTAAGGTCGGGCCTGTCCCCCCATCGGGGGATTCTGGACGAAAAAGAAAAGTTATCAAAACAATAGCCAAAATATGCAAGAAAATATCCACCAAATAGTCCCCATACTATTTCTGACTATATTTGTGAATATTCCCCCTGTGGAGGGACAGGCCCGACTTAAGCTCAGGTGGTAGATGCAGCCGAGCTCCTCCTCGGCTCCCTCCATGAATGCCTGGGGGACCCTGGCCGAGGTTGCAGGCCCAAGCTCCGAGTCGCGCAGCAGCGCGAGCCCGTTGTCACTGGGCGCGCGACTCCCTGGCTGGGCCGATCGGCCTCGCCGCCGGGTAGCACTTGGGCACCTTCTGCACCGCGATGAGCTCCGACGGAATTGTGTCCTTCAGCTCCAGCGCTATCGCCTGCGGCCCGTGATCGCGCTCGCGCGACGAGAAACCTCAGCGCCTTGGGCGTCGCCCAGTGGTCGAGGTGGGCGCCGCCAACCATGCCCCCGTAGGTCGGCTCGCTGGTGAGCGCCGCCTCGGCCTTGAGCGCTTCGAAGACGCCTGGCTTCGCCAACTCCGTTGGGCGCATGTCGAATCCACCTCCGACCAGGAACGGCCCGTTGAGCCTACGCACCTCGCGCGTCAAAAGGTTGAGCAGGAAGCGATGCCGCGCCGTCATGCCTTCGCCGTGGCGCTGGCACACGTTGCCGACGACGACGACGCCTGGTAGCAAGCCGTTCCAACGCAGTATTTGCACCCAGCCTTGCGCGAGCCTGAACCTGGTGCCCGCGCGCGGGTAGCTGGCCAGGCCCTCCCAAGTGTGGGTGGCGGCGCAGAGGCCTCCGATGGCGCCGCCCTTGCCCGCGGGGGGCGCCTCGTCCAAGTGGAGCTTCCAGCTGGCCCTGCATGCCCAGTCTTCCTGGCTCCTGCAAGCCTGGCTACCACTGATGTGCGTCGCCTGGCCGATGAGCAGGCCCGCCTGCCCGGCGAGCGGGCCCGCCAAGAAATTCGACAGACTGGTCCAAGTCGTGCCGTTCACTGCGATGGCGATCGTCATCGCCTGCTTTGCCCTCCGGGGTTTTGCCGCTGCCCC